GTCGTTAAAATTTCGTCGGAACGAAGTTACGGAAAAATCAATTAACGAAACGGAGACGTAACAATACTATCCAAATTCGCTACAAGTAGGTCACTGCTAATTAATTTGATTCCAGAAAAAAAAATATCCAAAACTTTATGATTCTTCTCAAAGCACACATTTCTTAAACTGAATGTCATTCTAATAGTCTATTTCTGAGCTCCATCCATCTTGATAGACTTCCCACAATAAGAGGACCAAAGCTGAACAAAATATTATAAATGAGGTCTCACAAAAATCTTATAAAAAAGTTACACTGACTTTGTTGGTCTTCAGTTAAAATGTCATACAAGTACTTGCAGGACCCATAACACCACTCTCTCATTTCTCCACAGCTAAAATATTTAAACATAAACACTTTTTTTTCTACAACATCAATGCTAGCTGTTCTCATTAAAAAAACATTTTTCAACTTACCATACCCCAAATACAAACCTTTATATTTCTCAATATTACAAGATTATCCAGAAAATCAATCTGAGTTCTCTGTAATATATTCTGAATAAAACAAGATAAGAGAATACAAGTTGAAAATTTGGAAAAGACAGGCTAGACTTATGGAATATTTTGCTATTGGAAGCTCTGGGGGCCAGTTTTTACAGGAATTTAGGAAGGGAGTTGATATTTTCTAAAACATAAAGGGTGGGTTTAAATTTTTACTTCTCCAAAAGGTGGATGAGCAAGGACAGCTTTGAAGGACCAGATGGTCCTTTGTTCACCAAAGGTTGTGTTACATTAAAATTCTCTTTCCATGTTCTGACTCAGTTATGAACATAGTCAAAATTAGTTTGAATAAGACACACACACTGAAAACGTATTTTCAATAGGCACTTACCCTCGCTCACAAGATTAGCTATTATCATTCAGTGCTGCCTGTACATGCAAATTTTTCTTTATGCATGCCACAAGCCTTGAACTTCCCCCATATTGGAATACTATATTCTAACATGTCTCTCATGCATCATCTCTTAACCAATAGTAGCGTGACATGCTTATGTGACTCCCTCTACAATTTTCTACCGAATCTTCACTTTGAAATTTGGTAGAAGGTTTGAAGTAGGGAGAAAGGGTGAAAAGTATAAGAAAATTATAACTATCGATACATTACTTATACCTCCTCTCACAAGATTAGCTAGAATCCCCCATTGAGAAGGAGAAGGGACCAGTGCAAGGTAACAAAAGAGGTACCCCTGAAAGCATCCAAAGGATACCCCCCTGACAATAAGAGATACAGTTCCGAAGAGGGGAACCACACCACTTCTGAGCCAGGTATACTCTTTGCCCATGTGTAGATTGTGTAATTAACAAGGGCAGAAACTGTGAGGTGTAGAGTGACTAGGGCATGACAGACCAGATTGAAAGCATCTGGCACATGGCATGTGATAAAATGAATGCAATGTGCATGGGCCCAGTATAATAGATTCAGTGCCTGAAAACATAGATCTCTGAACCAGGTGCTCCCTTGATGGTTGATATGTCCCACCACTGTTAGATTTGTCTGAATGAACCATCACCAGACAATGATGGGTGAGAAGAAGGAAGTGATTTAATGCCAATGTACTGCAAGAAGTTCAAGAAAACTGATATGCAAGATGACTGACCCATGCCCTCCCATCCATGAAGAGATGTGTCCATGAGAAAATGTAGATCTGAATGCAGGGAATGAAGTGGCACACCTACTGACATATGGGCTTTGTTCAGCCACCACTGCAAGTCGTCTCACAGAGAAGGAGGAAGGTAAATGGTAGTGGAAAGGGAATTGCGAGCAAAATTCCATTGTTCAAGAAGTGCCCACTGCATGGATCTCGTATGGGCACGACCAAGAGGACCACATCCCCAAAAGCAACAGAACCTCACAAGCAGTAAGTGATTGAGTCGAGAGAGCATGGTGAACCAAAATTTCCATCAAATAAAGATGTAAAAGAGAAGGCAGAATGTGACTGATATTGGTGTCGAAAAAAATCCCAAATAGACAAGATATTGAGTTGGTTGAAGGAATGACTTCTCCAATTTCATCAACTAGCCCACCAGAGCAGCCAGTGAAAGGAGTTGGTGAGTACGCGTGGCCTATTCTACATTTTTTTTTTTATCTATCACCTCTACTTTAATTAGGACAGGCTCCAAATTCTCCTCCAACCTACAAACTCTATATACAAATTACACATCTTCACTGCCAGCTTAGTTAAAAATACATACCAGTCCAGAGTTCCCAAATACAACCCACTCATTGCACCTATCATACTTAACAAACTGTAAATGCTTACAACCAACACTAGTCATAATCATTGTTCTTGGCAAAGTAATTAGCAAAAACTATTATATCACAAATATTAACAATATGCAATAATAACTTAAAATAACAGTAAGTAAAACCAGTAACGGTAAATACACTACAGTCCAAAGTGGTTTACTTATAGTTATACATGTAGTTTTACCAAAACAATTTCTGAAGGAATTAATAATAGGTGTTAAAGTTTTAAAATAATATATGCCACCCAATTATTCTCTCTCACTGTAATTGTTTGAAGTTAAACAATGGTTGGTTACATCATATATGCTAATATTTATCACATTTAAACTCTGCAGACTGCTGTTTGTACAACATCGTAAGACTGTGCTTACAATATACCACTTAATAGATTTTATTGCCTAAGGTTATGGTATTATATATACTACTACTAGATAATACCCTGTTTTATTTATATCATATTAATAATGTTTAAGAGAGTTTCCGATTACTAATATTAAGATAATAAGTGAATAACGTCAAACGTGCTGGGTTAACGTTAAGCCTAACAAATAACATAAAATACCACAATGTACCGGTAGTCTGGAAGTCCAATAATATTACTAACACGGAGTACTATATAGAACTATTGAACTACAAAATTAGGCTGAAATGAAGGGCGCTGGAATTACACATTCGGACAAAACCTTAATTATCGTATAATTTTTCAAAATATAAAATATATTTATCTCATTTTCCAAAAATACAAATTACCTATTGTCTTGTTTAAATTACTGTCTCCTCATTGTTGGAGAACTAACTTTGTATTGTAAAAAGCAACAAAGATTTAACAAAAACCTAGGAAAATATACGGGAACTTTTTCGCCCTCTATCGGCAAACTGGTAGATGATATACATCATTACATGTAAATCTCACAGCTCACGTGAATTGTTAAACTTTAAACATGGCGTTACGAAGAGGTGTTTCTCAGGTGTATTTGAATTTGAAGGCTGATAGGTGTACCAGGTACATACAAGTATTTAATTTTAATTTACATGTGTGACCGAGAATGGAAACTATAAACACTAGTTTTGTCCTACCTAATATTTTAGATTAAAACTTAGGTATTTATAAATATAACTATAAGATATGAACAGTAATACTAGTAGGCTAAGGCTTTTGAAGTTTTTATAGTTTTATTCCCATATTCATGATAACTACTACACTGATATTTTAATTTTGTGCATTATCTCTTGTTATTATTGGTACTTAAAGTTAAACTTAACATATTTGGATAAGATTGTGAATTGATCTTATTGAATTTGAACTTTTAACTTGAAGTTAATGAATAAGATAAATGTGATAGATTATCACTATCACTGTATCAAAGGGGATCGGTAGAATAAACGTTTTTGATTTCTTTGTGTTGTATTTTCAAGATAATAGTAATAAGATGAGTGAACACAAGCTTAAAATTTAGAGAAAACAGGCTTGGTCCCAATCAAGATAGTTTTAATTTTAACAGCAATGATTGGTTAAAATGTACAAGAATGAGGTGTCATCAGCAGTAGTGAAGGTCAGCACTTAACAGGAGTTTAACAGAGGAATCATTTGTTTCCTAGAAATAAAGAGTGGGTTTCAATTTTTACTTTTCCTGAGGGGTGTGCAAGGACAGCCTTCAAGGCCTAAATTGTTATGTTTGTTGTGTATGAAAATTAACATGACTGGAGCATATGATTGACTGTAGTTTGACATACAATGTTACTAGTGTTTTTTTCTTTTACTTTTGGACTTGAATAAAGGAGAAAAAGATATTTCTAATCAAATCACATTTTAAAAGTCTGGATGGAGATAACTTTAATAATTTTTTTTCTTGTTTTAGTTGAAAAATGTTTTGATAAATTGCAAAAAAAAAAATTTAAGACAGTAGCTTAGAAAATAGTTGGCGAAGACATTGACAAGTAAACCGTACTAGTGCTGTAAAGTTATATTTATAGTTATTGGAAATTTTTCCTAAACTATTCTATGTATGAATATGTAATCCACTTTACATTTAAATGGGGCAGTGGTTGGCTTATTTGCAAGGGCTATTAACTCGACTATAAGGGCCACTCTATATGCACAGGTAGGGATCAAAGTGTGCAAGCCACAACCTTACATAGGTTGCCACTCAACACTATATTATATATTTGATGCCAGAGTTGTCAACTATTCATTTTACCTACATTGTTGATTTAGCTACAGTTTGGGGTAGAGGAGAGTATATACCTGATACAATACTTTTCATAATTTTTTCTTTCTCTTTCTTTGACTTTAGCTTTTCCCAACTGCTCTTGTATTTGTACATCTGTATAATAGGATGAGCAATTAATGAATGTGTGTGTGCACGTATAAGCATACTTGTGTGTGAGAGTGAGAGAGAGATGTCTGAATGAGCTACCTGATAGTTTGTAACAAATTATCACATCTCATCTGTACTTAACTCAAAAATTTCAAATTTTGTACTTGGGTGACTTGTATTCAATATTAATGTATTCCAATTAATGATGCTTGTCAATTTGTCAACAAATTATTTTCAGCTGTTAAATGAGCCAGTGTAGGCCCACAAGTAATTATGGATTTAATTTTGGATAACGATTTGCAAAATGTTTTTAAGAAACACAAACAATTGATACAGTATATCCTAAAAGCTTAAAATACTATTTCATATCTTGTTAATGATGATTGAACTCTTTTTTCTTGAACAAAATCTGAAGCCTTTGGGAATGAAGAATCACAAGATTACAAATAGATTCAATCTAGCCTAGCAACTTAGGTCTAGTCATATTCTAGGCTTACTACTCTATCATATGATAAGAAACAGCCTGCAAGATGCGAGGGAAGAGCCTGGCTGACAGCATCATGAAAATGTGGAGCATAGAGATTCTGATTGGTCGAGACCTATCATTTAATTAGTGTGACTAGATCTAGCCTTGCTTAGACCGAGAACACTTGTATTGCAAATGAGCTAGATCACAGCAGGGCTACACCTAGTCACACTGATTGGAGTCAAGGCAATCAAATCTCTGCACTTAACATTGCATAATTGGCCTACCCACATCATACACAAACTCTCTCTCCCCCTCCCTGTTTCTTTAAAAATAAGTAGACTGAGGCAAATTTTCCTAAAAAAATGTGAAGACAAGTAATTTTATATTTGGAAAGATTAAAGAATGATTGATAAGGCTACTGGGCCAGATAATATTTTCCCAAGAGTTTTGAAGGAGGTTAAGGATTGGATATGGAGACATTTGCTAATATTTTTTGTAAGTTCTTGACTAGTGGGAAGGTGCCAGAAGATTGAAATTGGGTAGTTTTACTTCTCTTCTCCAAGGAGATGATAGAAATTTGTCTAGATTGCTTCTTCACAAAGTTTCTCTTGTTGAAAACTCACTGAAGACTAAATAAATGCTTCTTAAATCCGTGTAAAATGATGGTTTTCAGTACTTCTTAGAACAACTTTTTCTATAAATCAATCACCTTGTTAAAAAAGTAAAAGTGTATTAACTGGAACTTAGCCTATCCCCCCACCAGATCTTAAGCTTGTGCTCTTAGCTTCAGAATATAATGCAAAGAAATCAAAGTTCTTTGTTCTGTAAATCTTCCCTGCTCTTGGATAACCTTGCATCAATAAGATCACCTCTTACCCTTCATTTCTCAATAAAAGATCTTAGTCTATACCAATAAGATAAATCCTTCCATCCCAGAAATTAATCTGGTTGCCTTCATCTGAACCTTTCTCAGTGATTCAATTCCTTTTTTAGATATACATTATTCTAAGTGAGATCCATCTAATCAGTTTTATCAAGAGATAATTACATGTTTTTATTTGGAATCAATATGTCTGTAAATTTCTAGTAGCTTTAATACAAGCAACAAAGCACTACTTTGATGGATTGAGTAACTTATCCATCACTGTGCCATGAAAATTCATTTAAGTCACACAGTTGAGTGGGTTCACGTATATATTAAACGTGTGATCCAAGTTATGATAACCCAAATGCATCACCTTGCACTTGCTATTATTTTAGGCCATTTGCCTTGTATTTTTCAAACTTGCCAACTTTTACAAGTGCATAGTACCTCAATACAGCTACAAATGTTCAAAAGGTTAATGTCATAAGCAAACTTTAGTAATTATACTTTCTTCTGTCCAACCACCCTTCAGTACAATTAATTCTCTGTATATGGACTCAGTCATTGTACCAACCTTTTAACCACCATGAAACTGTAAATACTATAACTTGAACATATTAAGTATATCTTCACAAAATTTGGCAGCTTTTTATTAAAATAAAACATCTGTTGTACACAAAGAACCATAATTTTTAATAAAGTATTTTTTTTTCATTAAAGATATATCTGGGAATTTATGAAGCCTTTGTTGAACCAATCTGAGTTTAAGGTGATTTTCATACTAAGAATAAAATTACTTTTCATCTTACAAATTTTAGATTTCATTTGCATAACCTCCTAAAATAATATCAAAGGTTTTTTTTTGGGGGGGGGGTCAAAATCTTATATTTTATCTTTTAAAAAAGTGAAATCATCAAACAAAAATTTTTAAGATAGGAAATTTGAATAATTACAATTATTTATCCTAACACTGTGAACTATCTAACTTTTTCATTTCTGTTTCCTTTTAATTTTGTCACTTTACAATGTCCTTTAGACCATATCTAAGTATGTGACAGGCAGTTACATGAAATGTTTGTTAATGTATTATTTGTTATATAACATAGTAAATTTTGAACTCATGTTAGGGTTGAAGCCTATTTCAGTAATTTACACTTTAGAACATACTTCTTTATCTCTAGTTTTTAATACTATGTTGGTTTTCCACAAATTCCTTAATATTCCTTTCATATATACATTTTTGAATACAAAACTTGTATTAAACACTAGAATATAATCTCCCCAAATTATTTAAGTAGCTTTCTAGCTGAGCTATAAATAGATTAAAAATTATGGTAGCTACTTAGAGCAGAAAAACACATTAGCAAACAATAAAAACTTAGGCTACATGAATTCTTACAGGTGACAAAACAAATAACCATGTAAGAAATCTTATAAAGAAAAAGGTGCTCATTACTGGTTATAAATAATCCAATAGAAATGTCATAGAGAATTATTGAAATTTTTCTTGAAAGCCAGAATGGCATGCGAGGGGTGTATCTTGTGGGATTGACATTTTTTTTATCTCAGTAAATGAGGATGGTTGAAGGCTTTAAGTTTATATTCTGACTTGTCACTATCTATAGTACGTGTGTGTCTAATTAAGTGGATACTCAGGAAATCTTGTAAGTACAGAATGAAAATCTGAAATGGGCAATTCAGAGTGCAGATGTGTCATATGATTCAGAGAAGTGAAGATTGAGAAGTTTTTTAAAATACTTGCTTTTGAAATTAAGAAACTAAAATATAGATCAACCAATTTGATTTTCTTTTGTGTGGTACCTAATCAAAAGAGTTTTGAAAATCTATGTACATCAAGTCCATCCCTTTTCATCACTCAGATAACAAGTAACTTCCTCATTTATGATATTATATTTCACTAAATGATTTTATAAAGCTTACTTTTACCAGACACTGAAGTTTTTGCTACTACAGAAGCAAGACTAACTGGTCTATAATATCCAGGACAACTCTTATCATTCCCCTCTAAAAGTAACAAAATCAATTCTCATAATCCTCAGGCACCTTTCCACTGTCTATTGACCTAACAAAAATGAAAGAGTCTTGCATATCTGTTCTTTGACCTCCTTTAAAACCATGGGAAAAACCTTGTCTGGTTCTGTTGCTTTATCTGTTTTTAATCACATTCTTTTTACTCACAACCAAGGAATCAATATTTTCATGACTCAGATTAATTCCAATATTCCCATAGAATACTCATGGTCAGAATTATTGCTATTATATTCTGTTGTAAAACCAGAAGAGAAGATAACATTTATAAGCTCAGGAGCCAATTCATAGTTTTTAATGAAAAGCTTGCCATCAGCATCCATTAAGGGTCCAATTCCTATTCTAAAATTTTGTTTACCTGTAACATAATGTTTAAAAAAATCTTTGTTATTTTAATATTATCAGCCACTTGTTCTCATATGGTATTTTAGATTTCCTATTTCATCTCTTAATCAAATCTCTAGCTTTCCTATACTGTAGGTGTTTACATTTTCCAACCTATTTGTCAATTTAAACTTCTTAAACTTGTGGCATTTTTCCCTGATTTTTCTCCCTTATACTTTTAGTAAGCCAATTAGGTTAGATTCTTGCATCACCTTTTACTCATTGTTCCAATTTGTCAATGTTCAGTCTAGTCTAATGGCCTCAAGATTAACTTTCTGAGAATTAGGAAGTAAAATTTCATTTCTTTTTTTTTACATCAACATATAGCTAAACACCAAATTTAATTGTGCAATAATCACTTTCCCAAATGTTCCCCTCTTCAACTCCTGCAAATATATCCTCATTAATGTTAACAAGGAATCTATAATCATGACAACACCCTGATTGGTACTCTGACCAATTGGTATAAAACAAACCTGTTATGAATCACTTTAGGAAATCATTCTTCGAGCCCATACAATCCCATTCAATTTGTCTGAAAATTAATATTTCATAATTATTGTATCAGTATTCTTATTAGTAGTAACCCTTATCTCATCACTCAATTTATAATTGACTGATAACAATTGCTAGTTTAAAACTTTCAACCTGTGAAACTCCTGATTCAACCTCTTGACTGCAATGTTTTATGTCTTCAATTCTAACAAGGTACAGTTCATCCTTTATATAAAGAGCCACCTACCCTTTTTTAAAAAAAAAGTCTATTAGTATTAAATAATTTATAATTCCTATTGTCAACATTTTGCAAATATAACCAAGTTTCAGTAATTCTCATCAAAATGTTTTGAGTATTAGGAAGTATTTTGCTCCTAGTACTCAAAACAATAAATTTGAAGGTTTGTTTGTTTGTTTGTTTTTTTAATTATGCACAAAGCTACACAAGGGCTATCTGTGCTCTGCCCACCACGGGTATCGAAACCCGGATTCTAGCGTTGTAAGTCCGCAGACATACCGCTGTGCCATTGGGGGGCCAAATTTGAAGGTAAACATATCTTTAACCAAAAATGCTGCTCCAAAATTTTTGATAGTACCATAATTATCCATTACATATCAATGGAAGTACAGTAATTTTATGACATTTTTGATGTGGGTAATACATTAGGCTTCATTATCAGCATTATAAGAACTTACATGGTAAAATGTCATTGCACACAAAATAATGTATTTCTTCTTGGAAATTTTGCAAATGGGTATAGAAGTTCACTTTTATTATTGGTTAAATATAAGCTATTTATATACACTTAACTACCTATTTTTCTTGTTAAACCACAATTTTCTCTCTGTTTTTATAAAGAATAAAGGTAAAGCGGAAGGGGATTGCTGCCCATCTCTGCCATGCCTAGATTGTATAAATCGGTTTGATCTGCTTTTAAGAATGAGAGTTTGCGATCACTCATTGCACAGTCTTGGGTGTTTCAGTCCCTCTGGACACTTCACTGCACTTTTTCCCCCTTTCTTCCAGTGGAGTACGAGAGTCCTAACCATGGATGGGTTCTACAAAGATGGCTATAACCATTCAATTCAGGGTAGGGTGGTGGTGTTCTACCAGTGAGGAGGGAGTTACAAGATTCTTCAGATGAGTAACTAATTCCTAGAGTTGAGACGTCCAAATGCAGTTCAACCCTCTGATTGGGTGCCTTCCTCCTACCCTCATGTGGATGTCAGTACCTAGCGAGTGAACAATCACATAAATCCTCACACAGGTTTTGGGTTGTCCATCTCCTCCTCTTGACTTGTCTTCTGTGTTGTGGGTTGCAGAAGGTCTTTGTGGCCTGTTTACCTTTCTGACCTTGGTTTTTCCTCGTTGGGTGACGAGGTTGTTGCCGACCTGGGGTCATTTCAGGCTGGTTTCACAGTTGCAGGATTTGAGTGCATGTGGTAGACTTCCTTCAGACTCTGGATGACACATTGCTGGATCCCTGGCCTTAGACTACCCTGTGAGTTCCTGGGGTCGAATGTTAAATTCCCTCTTGACTGACTTGAGATGAAGATGGTACAATCCTCATCTTACACTCGCGAGGATGTCAGCACCCAGCAAGTGAGGTTTTGGATGTAGTTAACATAACAAGTACGGTTTGTTGCACCCTAGACATTATACACCATGTGACATATCCTCACTTGACCACTTTCCATTGTGGGATTGAGTGATTCTGATTTCTGTTTAAGATCATATTGCTAAACTATCCTCTCCCATACAGATTTGCTCCCTTCGTGTTCCGCCATGTCTGGTCCTCCTGATCATGTTGATGTTCCTGGCGAAGATATATCTGGCTCAGATGTGGTGCAGTGCCCCTCCTCAGGTCATCTGATCTGTTCCTCTCATTTTTGAGGTGTCCTCCAGATACTTTTGGTGGATACACCTGTGCTTCCCTCGCACCGGTCCCTCCTCCATTTTAATGTGGGATTCAAGCTAATCTTGTAAGTGGATGTAGAGTACCTTATCATAAGTCATGATTTTCCTAAATGAAAATGTATTTATGACAGGTACTTCCCTCCACTCACAATCTTCCAGTGCTTGCATCTTCTGCCAGGCTTCAAAGTAATAATTTGGAAGTGGCACGTAGAGGGAATCACATGCATCATGTGATAGTAGTGCTCTCCTGTTGGTGGAGAGATGATGCATGATGATTTGCAGGAGAGGCAAGTTGGAACATTGGATTCCAACATAGGGATGAAGAAGACTTGTGACATGCAATTTTGAAAACAGAAGGCAGCACAAAATGAGAAAAGCTGATCTTATGAGCAGAGGGAAGTACCTATCAGAAATACATTTTCATTTAGGAAAATTATAATGCCAATCTAACATATGTAGGCCTTGTTTGTTTGTTTTTCTCTCTCTCTATGTTTACACACTACATGCTGAGATTGTTTCAGAGTTTTATATGTGGGTCTTTTTTTATTAATTCTCAAAATCATTATCAAACATCTAAAAATCCACAGTAAATTTACAAAATTTTTGTTTGTCTTTTCAAACATATATGATGATGTAAAAGGAATATCCTTATCTTATACAACTTGTGGATTTTCAAAATGCATAATAAATTTTTTGTGCAGCTAAGAAAACCATTTCCTAAATGTATTAGTTTTTGTTGTGGTTTTTTTTTATGAGTGTTAAAAGTTAAGAGGTATTTGTCCTACTGTATTTTGTTTTTGATTTTAAAGATACATATGTTTACTAAAACATGAACTTCAAGATATGTACAGTGCAAGATAATTTCATAACATTGCATCATGTAAAGCCCATTAGGCAATTTCTGAACTATATATTAAATGTTTAAAAATTATATACATGTTTACTATTTCTCTTGAAGGAAATGGCCACTCACTCAATTCACCAAGCAACATCAGAACTTGTTTGCTCAGTCAAGTTTTTTTGGCTGCCTTGGTGTTAGAATGTGCAGCAATTTAAACAGTAGGTTTGATAGTGCCAAAGAAAAACTAAATACTTTAAAAGAAGATCCAGGTAACAAAGTCAAACTCAGATTGTACAGCTTATTCAAACAGGTAAGTGTTTAGACTTGTTACTAGCTTAATCAGGAATAAAAAAAAATAATAAAATTGCAAGTTTGAAAGATCTTAGCTTTTTGATGAGAGCATTTCAAAATTTGTTTCATTAGGTTTAATTTTTTGGCTTATGATAAAATTGTATGGTTATTCCAGTTATCTTAAGTGGCAAGGGGTAGTAATGTTGTGTTTCTACCGGCTTATCTTTTGTAGTTGTATCAAGATTAATTGCCAATGTTTTCATAGATGACTGTATGATTTAATGATGAATAACAGCACCATCGAGATAAAAATATATATCTGTTGTGTATTTTGGAATGGTCTTTCATCTTCAGTAAGTAGATCTAAAGGATACAAATATAGTAAAACTCAAGTAACATGTATTTTTAACCCATGTTATTTTATCATATTACTTAAGTTGTACTGTACTTGTATTCTGTAGAGATATTTACTGATTATGTGAGTGAAACAAATTAGAAACATACAATAAATGTTTTTGTTCTCTTGGTGGTGCTGTTGTTTTTAATTAAGGTAAGATTTCTGCTTCCTGAATCAGTTGACTGTATGATTGTAATTTATTAGATTAAACGTGATGTGTTCTTATAAATATGAAGGTTGTTCAGCTTAATACTAAATATTATGTGCATTCAGTCAATTTCCAATGCCTTTATGATTTGATTTCACAGGCAACAGTTGGTTTGTGCTCTGGAAAAAAACCACCTGTTTTTGATTTTGTTGCAAAGGCCAAATGGGAGGCTTGGAACTCACTGGGGTCTATGTCCCAGGTATGTCTTATGAAAAAAAAAACAAGTGGAAAATATTCATTAAGGTCATCATTCAACATTTAAATCTCCCTTTTTTTTTGTACCTATATGTACTTAAGAGATATATGACTACACTAAATAGCTGAAACACAGAGCACTTAAACCTATAAACCACAAGCAAAAGTACCCGTCCCCAGTGACAGAAAAAGTTTTAAGTTAATCTATCAATTGAAATTATTTCATGGATTTTAAAAAAGGTTAATTGCATTGCACTCTTGGTTTCACTCAGAGCCAAAGCTTTGAGCTACTTATACTGTCCACTGTGAAAAGTAATTGTTGAACATTTCAGTCATGCTAAGAGCCACTAAACAATAACATATGGTTAACCTACATTTTTATTCTTTAAGTTACATCACATTTTGAAATGTGAATGACGTGTGATTAATTTCTAAAAATTTGGTGCAGAATATCCTGCTTGTGAAATAAAATTTGGCATCAGAATTACTGATGCCTGTTTTCCCATCAGTTTAAAAGTGAATGTTGAGCTGTGCCTGCACGTGCAGCTTTTCAAATGGGAGACAGACAAATGCTTGGACAGACATTACAGTTCACAATATATATATAAGATAACTTGAATGAGGTTGAATATTTATAATGTGTGCAGACCATGCTGCTGTTAAAGGGGAAAAAAATCAAGAAAACCTTGCAAATCAAAGTGTTCCATTTGTTCAGTGTCACATGATCCATCTTCTCCTCAAATATGTATTTTTCTGTTATGGCATTTTTATAACATTTAGATTTGATGTATTCATATCATTTTTTAGGTATGGATCTAACAAACTTGAGTTAAGTTAACAGTTAGGTCAATGATATCATTCTGCACTTGTGGAAATGTTGGATCATTAATATTGAGAAGTGTCTAAAAAGTAAATTTTAACAATTTGTGCTGTTATACCTATGAATATGAGTAAAGTAAGTTCTATCATTTTAATATTTGGTCTCTAAAGTGAAAAGTGTATGCAGTTAATAATGAGCAGTTACAAAAATTCATGAATGTTTGTTGTAATTCAGCTGTATCTAACTCAAAATCTCTTGAGAAAATGCTGTATTAAGTGGACTTTTACAACTATAAGTTAAGCACTTTTAACATCTCAAACTACCACCCTATAATGTCTTCAATCACATTATTGGTTAAGAAGTTTTCAATATATAGTCACGCTTATGAAGTTTTAAGTGAAAGTTTTACAGATACTTTGTGCATATATGTTAATCATTAACATTGTTTATTAAACTTTGTCAAACTTTAATTTTTACTTTGAGATTCAGAACATGTAGACTATACTTACATGCAGTGATTTTCATATTTAATGTTAAGGTTAGTGGTATTCAGTGTTTTAGTAATATGTTAGAATGTTTGTGCTTTATAACTTTCTATAGGAAGATGCAATGAAAGAATACATAAAAACAGTAGAAGAACTAGCAGGAAAAGAAAAAGTTACAAGTGACAACAGCCAAAGTTCATCTAACTCTAGTCAGTACAATGGACTTCAAGTGTCAACCCAGAATGGAATAACCACTGTCAAACTGAACCGACCAGAGAAAAAAAATGCTCTGACTACTCAGGTATGTATTTTTTGTCTTTTAATTGATATACAATTTATATATATTCTAATTTATATATAATTCATTGGAGCTAAGTTGCATTGAAAGACGATAAATTGGATTACAGTATAGCTACCGATGAGTTCCATTTCACGTGAAGTGGCGTAAAACTCGTGATAAAAATAAAGTATTAAAAAAGTTTGAATTATTGTCATATGATAATTCCTTAACTTCCAAGATGATTCCTCATACCTGCACACAGAATAGCTACATCCCTCTCGCATCAGCCAATGACATTTGCATGCCACTAGCCTTGAGCTAACTCCCACCAAAAATTTGTGTGTTTAGCATGAACTATGCAGGTGCATGATGGCATCATCACATGACAATAACCCTCCATCAATAGGACGGCAACAAACCTTCATAGGCAGTAATTCCCCTTAAGCGCTTTCAATAACTTCATTTTTTTCTCAACATTGCCTTGAACAGACAAGTTGATTTTTCTGTCTACATTCAACTTAACAGAACTTAAATTTCATTATACCTTTGCATTTGTTTCAGAAGTATTGAATATTATAATGAATTCATAAGTGACAGTGACTTTGAATTTGGAAGTGATGATGCTGTAAACACAAGACCTGTTTTTACTGTGGTGTCTAGAGGCTTGTTGTCTGTTGAGGATGTTACAACCATCATGCAGCATGTTCTTGTGTATAATGGGCCTCCTCCTCCATTTGAGAATGACCAGGAGGGTAACTAATTTGACCGACTGTTCCCACCTGAGTTTGCTTTGGGTACTGCCTTACTGGTCAAGGAAAATCCTCAACTTTCCAATCTCTTTCTGGATATGATTTTGTGGGTATGTTCCTTTCTTTTTCTTTCACCTGTGTCTTGTTTCTTCTTGATCTTTACTCCACAAAACCAAGTCTCAGGATTATGTAGTCTTCCCTCCTTTACCTGATATTATGGTTCATGCTGATTCCTTTCTTGAACAACTCTATATTTGTACAAGTATGCCTCCTCATCCTTTCCTTCTTGATTTCTGATCTTTGGAAGTTCTTGCCTGCTTGGGGAGTGAAATTCTTTTTTCCTATTTCACTGTCTAGTGCCCAGTTTTTGTGTCTTCATCTTTTTTTCTCACCACCCTTCTGTGTTACCTCTCCTCTCTCCACCTTATATATGAGGCACTTCATCATGCCCCAGAGGGGTTTTCTGGAGAGATTCATTCCCTTTTCTTTCTTACCTTGGCTCACACCACTTCTTCTGCTCTGTCCCTCCTTACTTGGTTCCTCTGTTGTTGGGACTTGGGTTGGGATGCACTCCTCACTAATGTTCACCTCCCTCCTCCTTATCTATGTGATCTTTGTTCAGAAGTCTGATGGTATTTCTGATTCACTGGAGACCCAGGCTGAAGCAGCCTGGGATCAGTCCTTGTTATCTTCCCTAGTTTCTTGTCTTTCTCATTGGGTAACTGCCTATCTCACTTTGTCAACCCTTGGTCTAAGTTTTCTGCTAACAGATGGGTTCTTCAGGTTCTCACCCTTGGTTTTTCTCTCCTTATCTCTTCTCTTCTCACTTCTCTCATAATCCCATTTCCTTTTCTCCTCCCTCTAACTCCATTTATTCTCAATGTCTTGAGGATGCAATCTAGGATCTTTTTAGCAAAAAATGCAATTGAGATAGTATACACCCCCTTCTCCAGGTTTTTACTCTTGCCTCTCTGTGGTCGCCAATTAGACCAGTGAATGGTGTCCGGTTATAGACCTATCACCTCTCAACCTGTTTCTGGTCATTCCATGGTTCTGAATGGAGAATTTCTTTTCTCCCAAGTGGTCTTTTTAAACCCGGTCTGTGAATGACCAATATCGACATGTCAGGTGCCTCTATATATTTCGATTGCCCCATCCTCCAGACGTTTTCTATGTTTCATCTATCAGAATTGAGTATTTCAATTCCATGCTCTTCCCTTTGGCATAGCCTCAGCCCCTTATGTCTTCATTGAGTCATTAGGGCTTCTACTTGTCCCTTCTTGGGAGGCATCTTTCTCTCACATCTTCATTCTTCTGTAAGAGGCTGTTTGGTTGGGATGGCTTGTTAAGGTTTCCAAATTCTTTATCATGCCTACACTGTATTTAGTACATCTAGGCATTTTCTTCAACTCTCATCTTTGTAGGGACTCGGCCTTCACCTGTTTACCTGCAAGAAGAGGAATGTATGGTCACCAAGGTTTTTGCTTCTCATATTGTTTTTGATTGCGAATCTCTCTTCTCTCCCACTCAACGATTTGTCTTGGTGGCTAGACTGCCAATACAATGAGTGGTATTTTCTTACCACTCCTGAATGGATATTCATCTCTTCATAGATGCTTCCTTTTTGGATTGGGACACATGTCTGAACAACAACATGACTTCTGGCATCTGTGCACAGGAGGAAAGTTCACTCCACATTAACATGCTCAAACTTCTTACTGTTTGTCAGGCATGTTCCCACTTCCTACCCCTTCTAGTGGATCTGTTGGTCATGATTCACTCCAACAATTCCATGGTTGTTTCTTATATCAACTGCTCCAGGACTTTTTGCTTTTGGGCATTGGAGCTCCTCTTCTGATCTCATTCCCATTGAGTTTGTTTCATGGCATGTTTTGTACCTGGTGGCAGATCAGTTCTCTTGGCCAGACAGTTTTCTACCCACATAGTAATCTCACTAGTTTTTCATTGAGTTTGTTCTTGGTTTGGTACACCTCATAGATGCCTTTACCACCCCTCTCACCTCCAAGATTACTCTCTTCCAGTTTCCAGCTCCTCATCCATTGGCTCTGGCTGTTGATGCTCTCATCCAGGACTGTTCTTACCTTTTTCTGTATGCCTATCCTCCTCTTTGACAAATCCCTTGTGTCCTCTCCTTGATACACAACACTCCCTTTTAGGTCTTCTTGATGGCACATCTTTGGCCAGCTCAGCCATGGTTTCTTCTACTTCTTCAATTGGCATCTAGACCCCTTCTTCTTCTACCCATTATCCTCTCTCTATTGCTCAACCTCACACATCACTTTTTCATCCAGGGAATGCCCCTGATGATGAATGATACATTTTTTGAAAGCACTAGAATTTAGTAATAATGTTAATATTACACATTACTTGCAGAAAATAACTAGTTATATCACTTTTGTTACAAGTTACATTTTGTAAAAAATATTTAATTTTAAATTATTTAACATTGTAATAGTTTGACATTAGGAAACTGTGACTCAGTCAATTAACATCTCTGATGTTGATTAGAACAGAAACTCTAAAATTCAAGATGAAGTGCAATATTGAACCTTTATTGTAAAATATTAGAATATCTTTTAAAGTGCTTATGAGTGAGCCTATTGCTTTTCAGAGGTAACACAAGACTTTCAATACTGAAGGACTTCTCAATAGGTGCAATTGATGGCATGGTTATATTGTACCTAAAAAAAAATCGATTAAAAGATAATAATGAAGTTATAACATGTCGTTATCATTTTTCTTAAGTATGTATATCAATGTCAGTGTTGTTCACCTCTTCATTCATTGGAACAAAAGACAAATAGATGAATTGCTTGAAACAGTCTGTGAGACTGGCAACTGATTTAGAAAGTCAACTGTTTTCCCTCCATCAGAAACTTTTTATAGCATCTATTTTCTTTTTTTTTCTTGACATATCACCCAATACAGCCTAAACTTTGATAAAGTGACAGCAGCTAAGAGTGCCACATTAAAATCAAGAACATAAAAGAAACAACTGTGGATAGACTCAGTGACATAAAATACCAGTGATGACATTCCAACAGAAAAACTGGTTTTCAAGGCAGTTTTTGTCTTTTGAAAGTGGTTTCCATACTGTGCAATAAGCTTGTAAGAATAACAACTCATTCTCTGAAAAGCATTTGATGTCTAATTCTTGCAGATTATAGTAAGCTTATTTACTTGTGTTGAGACATGGTTCACACTATCATAAAATGAATTCCACCTGGCAGTACATGGAACTAATAACTTACTTAATGAGTTGTATTCAAACCTCTGCATCTAATGATGGCCTATTCTTTTATTCCACAACACTATGTATTTTGCAAAAGAACTACAATATATTTTCCTAACTTCACTATTGTAAGAAATTTATTGATCCAACCTTCTCCAATGAGGTTTACACGTATGATGGGGCAAAAAGTAGTAGTTTGTTACATTCCTGCTTTTTGTGTTATAAGTAGAATTACTAAATTATTCCGAATCATTATCAACATCATTTTTTTAGAGTAATTTTAATAGTGGCTGGATCATCAACTTGAAATTATGTGAATGGTTTTACAGAATTTGATCCATTTTCTCTAACTGTTGCAGTCACTTTTGTCATAATGCCATACAAGACAGGAGCTTGATCAATAACTATGCAATGCAATGAAATTGGCTGCAAGCTGAGGTTGCCTTTTTTAAGATGGATCTATCTGATGTGCAGTCATGCTGAAGAAACTAATTATGTACAGACCAGATATCAGCAGTGGGGATAACTGCATGGCAGCAGGTATAGATTCTGAAAGCTTCTTTTTAAGTTGATCATATACTGCAAGTGAAAAATGACTTTCTTTCAGGTAGTTCAGCTTTGGCTGCAGCTTTATTAACTTTTAAATGTTGGAGACTCCAGTACTGATAATAGCATCACATCCTTGAGGATGAAATTTACAACTAGCTTTTCAACCTTTTGTGGTGGTAGAGGTCAAGTTATGAGTTGCTTTGTATTTTAAGTTTCACAGGTATAATTTTCTGTCATGTGCTTGGTTGACTTTGGCTGAAAAGGAATGAGCATGGTAGTATTTTGAACTGTTACTGATTACATTTTAAGGCTAGAAGTGGTATTTGTGGCTGCAGATATTACTTTTTTGCCTGGGCACAACATGTACTGCATATTGATGTCTTAAATCTCAAAATAATTCTTGTATTTTCAACCATGACATGAGTTTTTGTCATCATTTTTAACTTCAAGCAAAGTAGCAAACCAGAATA